CTTAGGTGTATGTGGCTGGCACCTTAGCCACTTGAGCCACAGGCGCCGGGCCAGAAAGCTTAACAAGGTTGGGACAACAGAAAGGCACTGGAATAAGAAAAATATTCTTAGCGTGGTGGCGCCCGTGGCTCAGTGAACTCAGCCCCAGCCAAACTGCAACAAAAAATACCTGGTCATTGTGGCAGGTTCCTGTAGTCCTAGCTACTTGGGAAGTTGAGGCAAGAGAATTGCCTAAGCCCAGGAGTAGAAGGTTGCTGTGAGCTGTGATGCCACAGCACTCTACCGAGGGTGATAAAGTGAGACTCTGTCTCAAAAAAAAAAGAAGAAAAGAAAAGAAAAATATTCTTAGGAATAGAAATCTAAGTGTCATATTATGTATGAAGAGTACCAGTAGCACTTAGCATTAAGCATTGAAGACATTTCAAGTTTGGACGTTGTGTTTAGGACAATGTGCACATTTTTTCACATAAAAATGCCAAAGAACTTAATTTCTAAAGTTGTTAAGATCTCTCCACTTAAAAAGACAAAAAATGTCCAGACTTTCTCAAGATATTTCCTAGAAACCACAGAAGTTTATAGTCATTATAAACTTATTTGCAGCTTATTGTACTTTGATGAAAGTTCACACTTTGTCGAGTGCTGAGACAGTTTCCATCTTCTGTCTCTCCTCTGTCCGCGCCACTGAGGAGCAGTGCTGTGTGTGCTTTGTGACCAGTGCCTTCCTGGCCATGGGCACTGTGACCCTGTGAACACCTGGGCTCGGTGCTGCTCAGTGCTGTGTCTGTGGCTCTTTCTGCTCTTCCCTCCCAATTATGGCGGCCCCTTCTTTTGCCTTGCACCAGCTGGCTGTTCCTGTCTTTCTGGCCAGCCTGTGTTCATACCTCACTTGTCCCCTTGCTGCCCCTTCTCCTCAACATGGCTCAGTCTGTTTTCCTGAAGACCTCTAGCCAGACTGACTTCATTATTCTTGTTCTTCCTGTTGAAGTAGGATGATATGTTTTTAATCTAATGAAATTAAAGAGGTAGGAGTGACTCAAACATAAAAAAAAATGATAGAAAAATTTTGATAAAACCAAAATATATAATAAATATAATAAAATATCTTATTCTGCAGAAGAGTTAAAGAACATACTGTAATATAAACAAACTAGAATATGAAAAATTCTAACAAATGTTTGTTACTTAATAAAATAAGAAAGTGCATGTGATGATGGGGTTTCCTGGATAATGGAAGATAGGATTGCTGGGCTGGGGTGGTGGACACCTGACACCAAAATGTGAAGAGAGTATGTCCCCCGAAGTGTCAGGTGTCAGTTGGTACTTGGAACACAACTACAAAACTTTCACAAGTGGCAGTTACAGTTAAAGTAAATTTTCAGCATATTATATAAATATTGTTATATAAATAAGAATTTAGAATCAGAATTGGATAGGCCTCCCTTAAACTATTTTAATTTCTTCTCTTCCTTTTTCTTTCTAACTTTTTTCCTCTTCCTTTTTTTTCACCCCTTAAACTGATATTTCTCAAAATATGGTCGTAAATTACCTGTGTCAGAATCACCTAGAAGTTTGTAGAAAATGCATAATCATTGACCTCACCCCTGACCTATTGAATGACAAATGTTTCAGGTATTAAAAATCAGATACTTTAAAATTTGGGTGATTCTTATGTAAATTAAAGATTGAGGACCGCTGCATAAAAGTACCTGTTATGCTGGATTCTGTCCTGAGCTCTCGGAGTTTCCGTGGCAGATCAGTTCATTTCTCCTAGTCTAGCTGCTGCTTCAGAGTAGAAGACTCCAAACTCCTTTTATGTTCTGACCTTTTCCCCACATTCCATTCCAAGTTCCAGCTGTTTTCCTCAGTAAGTCTGGCATTTTAAGAGAGTAATTTTCATTATTAAAATAAGACCCAGATTCTCCACATTTTTAGTGAAGAACTCTGGGAGCAGCATCTGCAGGTAGAGGGGACAGCAGAGCAAGACTCATTTCTCTGCAGTTGCCCCTGAGCTTTAGTTCTTTCTTGCCCCTGCCACATCCTAGCCCTGTGCTTTAAATCTTGGAAGCAGCATACTAGAATGGTTAAAAGCTTGAGTTTAAATGTTTCTTCTGCTACTTATTACTGCCAGTAGGATTTGAGTACAAATTACTTTTTACTTTTACTTAAGCCTAAGTTTTCTCATTTGTAAAGTAGGAATTAAAATAATAATAATTAGAGTTTTTTGCAGATATTAAATGTGTAACACATTTTAAGCATTTAGTGTAGAAGCATTTAGTAAGTGATCAATTGACCTTAACTATAATTTGCAGTAAAAGCAAGGAGATTTTTCTTTCTATCTCAGTATAGCTAACATAGATTTTAATTTTCCAAAATAAATTTAATAAATAATCGAGAAAAAAGGGTATAAAGAAAGATAACATAAAAACATAAAAGCAATCACATTTTTAAAGTCTAGGTTTCTAACTCTGGAATATTTTATTTACTACCGAATCTGAGAACTAGACCAAGAAAATCCCTAATTAGTCCATAGATTATTTCCTTCTCTCCTGAGAAAGTGATTCAGTCAGATATCAGGGGGGTATCATGACCTTGAAAAGGGATTCACAACCTTGTCTAGAAGGAAAATGTATTCCTCACTTTCCCTTCTGTGGGTCCCTATCACCACAAAAGTCAAGGTCATCAAGATCCTTTCTCATCTCACTGAGGACAGAAACAATTAATAAACAGAATCAAGAACCATCAGATCATTGAATCTCCTTTACCTGAAGTAAGCACTTTGAACTCCCCATGTGTCTCTTTCCCTCCCCCAACCACCTGCACAGAATCCCTGCCATTGGTTATTCTCGGATTGTCAGCTCTAAAGCCTCTAAGTTCCTCTTGACTCCTCTCTTAACTTTTTCTACCCTCCTCTTTCCTCTCCATCTTCATTGCTAGCACTCAAATTTGGGCCCTCATGACCTAATTTGTCACCATAGACTTATCACTAGTTGTCAAACCATTCTAAAATTGTTATTGTAACAATTTTAAAAAATACACCTTAGATCAGTTGTGTCCCTGCTCTAAGATCTTTAGCAGCTTATCATCGCCTATCAAATCATTGTAAAACCTCTTAACCTAGCATTTCATACTTTTTATTCTCTAACCTTAATCTCTTTTGTTCAGTTTTTCGTTTCTTCCTCTATAAATCCTGCGCTTTCTTGTCATGTCACTCACTGTTACATGGACTCTGGTCTCTTACAGAAAACTCTCACCACCAACTCTTTGCTTAGCAAATCTTTTTACCCAGGATAGCTTACATGCCACTCTGTCTGGTCACCTCAACTAACTGTGGCCTCTTACAGACCCTCTTACAAACCCTCTTAATAGTGTCTGTACCTCTTTATGGCTCTTAATACTAATTGCCATCAGTATATTTGTACTGAACTCTGTTCTTAAGGTCAGAGAAAGAAGCTTTTAAAATTTTGTTACTTATTGATTAGCAGAGTATTTGATATATATGTTAAATAATTTTTGTTGAATAAGTTATTGAAATTATTACATTTTTATTTTAAGTATAATAGAAAAATTATAACATACAAGACAGTTATGAAATTAGTAATAATACTCAATATGATCTCTTTCTAATGTTCTCTGAGTTAGAAATGCTTATTTGAAATTGAGTTCCTATTTATAATAATAAAAAGATTTTTGTTTATGATTAACATGAAATGAACTTGTTGCTGTTTGTGTGTATAGTTGGAAAGGCCCACCTTATCTTCATTGCTTTGAGTAAAATAACTAGCTTTTTTATTATATGTGCAGAAATACGGTCAACTTGAAGAATATCTCAATTTTGCGGATTACTTTCAAGATGAGAAGTTTGACTGAATTGTAACACATTTCCTTCAGAGAAGATTTTATAAATTATTGTAAATGTGAGGATCATGAATCTTGTTTCTCTATATCATGTGATGAATTTATAAATTTTATGTACATCTTCATGGCAAAATACCTTGTTCAAAACATATGTTCATCTTATGTTTGACATAAGACATGGCACTCTACAGTCTAATAAAACTTTTACCTGATGTACATAGGTAAATGGCTTAATAATTTTTAAGTCTGTAAATGAATTTTAAAGTTACATAACAATACCTTTATAACACATGACAAGTGAGTGAGCTGTTCATGTCCTTTCATTGTAGTGGAAATATATTGTATTTTTAAAATGTATTTAGATTAACATAGATGTGTATTTTTTGCTGCATCACTTTCCAGGTGTTTGTGATTATTATTTTTTGCAGTATTACATGATATTCACTGATATATTTTTAAATATGTTAAACTATATCAGTGGGCCATGGAAGAAGCCTCAAGCCCCTCAGGTCAAGCCCTTGCCTCAGAATCAGAGAGTAGCTGATATGTGCCAAGTACAGAGCATATTTTTCCTTTTCTAAGGTTTCCTTTTCAAATGGATTTCAGGCCTCTAGAGTCTTTCAACCCTCACATTCAAGAATAATCCCATCATTTGTATTTTTATGCCTTACAATGTTTGTTGTTTTTTCTATTCAATGTTGTCTAGATATTATGATTAAGATGTATTTTATTTATTTTTATCAATAAATTTTCCCATTTAAGTATGTATGTTAGAATCAGAAGATCTCAGAGAGACAAATTCAGCCAAAAACACTTTAAAAGCATATTTTTGGTATTTGCGTTGCTTTGCACACTTCAGTTCTCCTATAAAATAATAAAGTAAAGCAGTTGCAGAGTGAACAGATGAACCCTGTTTATTCTATATTTTTAATTCTTAAAAGTGGTATTCTAGTAGGATCCATTCTGTGGTGGAATTTGAGATCCTTTTACTTATTAGTATTGTTGGTTGAACTTGACTTTGTCTGTTGTGTGATTCGTGGCATTTACCTCAGTGTAGGTGTATACCTAAAAAGCTGCACTGAGTTTTTACATGGAGCTCCTTGTCTGCAGTTCATTTCCTGAAATTATCCCTGTTATTATTGTAAACAAACTGAATAGAAAAAACTCACAAAATGGTGAAAATGCTAATGATTCTGTTTAATGAATATATACCTTTCTTTTAATTTTTAGATTCAGAATGCTAGTGGGTATATTTTGTTTACATACTTTGTTTTTGCACAGATTGAATCAAAGTTATTCATGTGTCTACCTTTTTCAAAAGAGTAAAATAGAAATTTCAGCCACATATGCAATTTTTATTCTAATTTTTATTTGTCTAGCACATGGCCAAATAATCCTTAACTAAATCTCAGTGAATAAAAATGAAGCCATAGTTGAAAAGTGAGGATGAAGATGAGTGTCCGAAAAGAAGCAAGCAGAGTTAGAGAAGTGACAGAGTGGCAGGGTGAAGGATCATGAACGATTTGTAATTAGGAAGGCCAGAGGAAATGAAAAAGAATGACCTCTATGACCTCTGCTGACCCTGGATGCATCACTTCGCATACAGGTGCTACACATAGGCCTCAAATAGTGGAGAGTGAGAGTTCCAAACAGAAAATGTTAAAACTTGATTTATCTATTATTTTTGATAGTATGGAGTTAATTCGTAAAATTAAGTCACTAATAATTCCAAGGATTGATGGTACCTGATCCATTTCTTAGGTCAGGCATCTTGTTCGCTTAAAGCACTTTACCTGTTTCGAACAGCTATTGATCATGAATTGGTGCTTATAGGTAATTTTCCTGATGTCTGCGATCATTGCAGCCAAGCATGCTACTTCACTGGTTACTTAGAGAATATAAGGGCTTTTTAAGGTATATGGTAACACGAAGAATGAGAAAGAAGCTGTTAGCAAATGAGAATTAGCACAGCTTAGGGGACCAAAATCAAATCACTTATAAGAAAATGAAGATGTTGGCTCCGCGCCTGTGGCTCAAGCGGCTAAGGCGCCAGCCACATACACCTAAGGTGGTGGGTTCAAATCCCCAGCCCCGGCCCGCCAAACAACAACGATGGCTACAACCAAGAAATAAACGGCCAGGTGTTGTGGCAGGCGCCTGTAGTCCCAGCTACTTGGGAGGCAGAGGCAGGAGAATCGCTTGAGCCCAGGAGTTGGAGGTTGCTGTGAGCTGTGATGCCATAGCACTCTACCCAGAGGGATAGCTTGAGGCTCCGTCAAAAAAAAAAAAAAAAAAAGAAAGAAAATGAAGATGTTGAAAAATAAAATCATCCCTTACAAGTGTTATGACATTATATTACTTCATCATCAATATCACGATTCAGTTACAACACGAAAAAAGTTTTGTTTTTTTTTTTGAGATGGAGCCTCAAGCTATCCCCCTGGGTAGAGTGCCATGGCATCACAGCTCACAGCAACCCCCAACTCCTGGGCTCAAGCGAATCTCCTGCCTCAGCCTCCCAAGTAGCTGGGACTACAGGCGCCTGCCACCACGCCTGGCCATTTTTTGGTTGCAGCCAGCATTGTTGTTTGGCGGGCCCAGGCTGGGGATTCGAACCCACCACCTTAGGTGTATGTGGCTGGCGCCTTAGCCGCTTGAGCCACAGGTGCCGAGCCACAAAAAAAGTTTTTAAGCTCATAAATCTCACACATCATCTCATTACTATCAAGTTTTTATATCTGGGCATTTATTACTATAGAGTCAGGCAGCTATGAAGAGAAGAGATGATGAGCACGTAATTGGACAAATGGACAGGGAGCAAGGTCTGAAGTAATTCAGAGTGCCATCTGGGAGTTTCAGGGTGTGAGAGGGAATCTAACCATCAGATGGGGAAATGCTCATGTTACAGGTTGCTAGATGCAATTGACCACATTTCCTGGCTTGTCTGCTCTCACATTCAGGTGAGTATTTCTATCCAGTACTCATTCCTTGGAGGTATTACGGAGCTTTGGGGATAGTCTTGCATCCCCATAACTCCTTTCACACTTGATATGGAGGCAACCAGACCAGTGGTTAAGAGAGGTTTGAAGATATTCTTGAATCCTCATCTGTTACTTTCTGGTTATATTAACTGGAACACATAGTTTAATTTTGGGGAGACTCAGTTTCCTCATTTCTAACTGCAGTTAGTAATACCCGTCTCAGAATGCAAAGTGCTGTGCCTGAAACAATGATGTTTTACAGGTAAATAGTTACTGATGTGAATGAAAATGAAAATTTCAACAATACTGATGTCAACTTTAACAAAATTAAATTTTTATAAGGGTAAACATGTACAAAACATAATCCAAAGAAGCGTCCTACACCATGGGAATATAGTATGAAAATTTATTAAATTCCTGCCTCACAACTTTTTAAGATATGCCTGTCTAGCAGAGAAATCAAAGTTTATATCATTTAAGAATAGCTGACATGTTATTAATCAAAATCTATATGTGCAGTGCTACAGAGTGAACATTGTTTTTAATTTGTATTACACACTTTTCTTGTTCATCAGGTGTGACTGCTGAATATAAAACACCCATAAAATAAAACATCCATCATAGTATAAAGAAGAGATTGTCCAATAAGCACAACTTTTAAAGGATCAAATACAAAATTATTTGAACTTTCACTTTTTAAAGACACTTTATGACAGAGTTCTCCATTAAAATTGTTTATTTAACAAAGATATATTTCCGCTTTTCTCATGAGTAATGAGGAACTAACAGTACGTTTCAAGAAACAGTTTAAAGTTGTATCCTATCAGACAGTACTTGACCCATTTTCAAGCTAACATTCTAGGATTTGTGAAAAAGGAAATGGACTAACATAGGCCAATCTATGGAACTAAGTTGTAGATAAATCCAGTTTGAAATGTTTGCAGTGGTTCGTTTCTTGCCATAGCTCAGTTTGAAGCAGTTCCATGTTACTGAAATGGCAAAGTTGGTTCAAATTAATGAACATCCATCCTTTGCTGGAGACCTCTGATCCAGAGAACTTCTAAGTTGGGACTCCTAGAATATGTCTAGCCCTGACTGTTCCAGTATTGTGCTCACTTTAGATAATTTTCTGTAGTTGATAAAGACAAGCGGAATCCATTATAAGTTTAGTATTTTCAAAGTAGGATCCTCTGAAGATGATGGGACACTGGTGTGTGTGAGGTATTTATTTTATTTGTGTTATTAAACTTCCCGAAATTCAACTATTCCATATCAATGTTCCTCACTGTAGATGTGCACCAGATAGCGATGACCTCAGGTCTTCGGTCTGTCGCAGGCAATCTTACATTTTTAAAGAAAAACCTTTTATTCTAGAATTGGCATTCGTAATTTTCTCATCCTCGTAAAATGTTTTATTTATCCCTACTGATCTACTTGTGATCACCCATATAGACAGACACCTGGCTGCCCTCAGGAGCTGACAGCATGACTGCCTCCTCCCCACACGCTCCCCGCCCCCAGCACACGCTCTCGCCGGCTTCTTTATTAATAAATATTTTCTCAGTGCTCATCCGGCTCTCAGTAGGGTGCTCAGTGGTGTCATTTACAACATATTGAAAAATGAAAATGACATCCTCAGGAGGGCGTCAATGTAGGTCTGAAGGGGAAAACACATTCCGGGCCCGGAATTTCTTAAACATTTAGAGCCGGAGAAACCGTAGTGCAGAGGCTGGGGAATTTCCCCAGCCCTCCCCAGGAACCGAGCCGCGCAGGCCCGGGACTTGCCTCCCCGGTCGCTGGGCGGCCCCCTGCCCCCGGAGCGCCGGCCCGAGCCCCGGCTCCACTGCGCCCCAGCCTTCCCCCGAGCCGCGCTGGCCCGGGACTTGCCTCGGCGGCCGCTGGGCGGCGCCCTGCCCCCGGCGCGCCGGCCGATTCCCGCTCCGCTGCGCCCCAACCTTCCCCCGAGCCGCGCAGGCCCGGGACTTGCCTCCGCGGCCGCTGGGCGGCCCCCTGCCCCCGGCGCGCCGGCCGAGCCCGCTGCGCTGCGCCCCAGCCTTCCGCCCGCCGCGCCGCGCGCCCGCCCCGCCCCCGCGCGCCGCGCTCTCCCTCGCCCGCACTCTCTCTTTCTCTCGCTCTGCTCTCGGAGCACAATGAAAGCCTGTGTATCGCCGTGACTCCGGGCGGGAGCCAGTGTCAGCGAAGCGGCTAACAACAGACGAGAAAGAGAAAGGAAAATACAAGCTACTTTTTTCCATCCATAAAGCGGAGCAAATACAAGAGATAGAACCACATTGCTTATTGCGAGTCCAGACCCTCAGATCCACTGGCCGGGATGGAATGTACTAAAGTGGACAGGAAAGTGGCTGGACATGACTCGGTGCTATGTCCTGGAAGTTTGTAAGTTTGACCATCGTTTGTAAATTACTCTCGGAAGAGTTTGTCTTCTCTCGATCCTGCGTTAGAATAGAGCGGGGGGAGAGGAATGGGAGCGTAAGCGGGTAGGAAAAATGTGTTGAAGGACCCTCTCAGTGGCTGGCGACTTGAGATCGCTTTCATCTCAGCCTGGGAAACCTTAGACGGGTGAGGATTTTACCGGTGATTGGATTCAGCGAAGAAAAAAAGCATGGTGCAAAAGTCCAGTAGTGACATTGTTAACAATTGAAAAGCTGTCTCCCTCTTTGGGGAGAAGACAACATCCTGCAGTACCCCAAAGAGGAGAAATCACCGGAGCGAAGGGAAAGCGAATTAAAAGCCAAAAGACAGTCTCTCTTGACTATTGTACATTTTGAACGTTGACTTCAGAAACCTGAAACAGCACTGCTTGTGAGTGTGTGTGTTTTAACCTGAGAAGTCAAGGCTGCCGGTACATAGACCATGGTAGAAATGTGTTTCTCTGCAGAAACATCTCCGTAAAGAATTTTCTGTAACAGCGAGGTGACGGAGAGTCCAGCTCGCTATTATACTCTCAGTTCTTTTTACTGCGTGTTTCTGTCTTCTGCTGGACAATCCCTGAATTCTTGGTCTGTCCCCTAGATCGTGTGTTTACAAAGTACCTAGAGCTCTTGTCAGCTTGGTGAGGGGAAAAATCCACCAACTCTGCCCAACTTCTCCAGAGCTGTCAAATGCAATTAGAGTAAGTTGATCAGGGCTTGTTTCCAACTTACTCTCTGCAATTGGTTTCTATTCTTTCTCCCCATCCTCTTTTCACCAACTCCCCTCCCCCACGCCTTCTCCACTGCTCCCCCAACCTCTGAAGACCTCTATTCATGTGGCCCTAAACGCTGAGCTCACATTGTCAGAAACATTTGCCAGCCACAGCCAGCAGTAGCCTCTTTCCACCTCACCATCCCAGAGGCAGCAATCATTGTGTCCACTAAGATGGGGGACACAGCGCCCCCGCAGGCCCCTGCAGGAGGGCCAGGGGGGGCCTCTGGGGCGGGGCTCCTTGGAGGGGGCTCAGTCACCCCGAGAGTGCACAGTGCTATCGTGGAGCGCCTCCGGGCTCGGATCGCTGTCTGCCGCCAACACCACCTGAGCTGTGAAGGCCGCTATGAACGCGGGCGGGCTGAGAGCTCAGACCGGGAGAGAGAGAGCACCTTGCAGCTCCTGAGCCTCGTCCAGCATGGCCAGGGGGCAAGGAAGGCTGGCAAACACACCAAGGTCGCCACCACCGCTGCCACCACTACAGCCCCTGCACCACCCCCTGCTGCGCCTTCTGTGGCCTCCCAAGCAGCATCAACAGCGGCCCCACCACCCCCACCAGACTATCACCATCACCACCAGCAGCACCTGCTGACCAGCGGCAATGCTGGTGGCAGCGGTGGGATAAACGGAGAGCAGCAGCCACCAGCTTCAACCCCAGGGGACCAAAGGAACTCCGCCCTGATTGCGGTAAGCCCCTGGCTTTCTCTTGGTTCTGGCTGTAGTTCTGGCCTTTTATGAAGGTAGAGATTGCCTTGGCCTAAGGCAGAATGGACGACAGTGGAAGAGGCCAGGAGGTCACCTGACTCCCTGGAAGGCCACTGGGTGTGTTGTTTGGTTGATTTTTAGTCTCTACTCATTCAGTGCCTTGGTGCTCCTCCTTTATAGGACGTTCCCTAACCAAGAAGCTGGAGTTTTCCAGAGGCTCTCTGGGGTTCACAGTGTGTACAAGAAGGGGCTACAAGATCCGAGCCCCTGAGGAAGGTCCCCTCTCAAGGGTCCCCCTGCTCTGGCTATCCAGCTCTGATTAGGTCCCACGGGCATTTTCGACATTTATCGGCCTGCCTAACCTTTAGCAAAGTCTTCTCCTTCTTGCTGTATTTGGCCTCTGCCCCCTTTGAAGCGGCCTCTGCCCCCTTTGAAGCGGCCCCTTCCCCTTGGCCTACAAGAACATAAATGGTGATGTGTGGCACAGAGTAAGTTCCATGAGTCAAAAACAAAATGTGGGGAAAATAACCCAAAGGGAGACTAGTGAAGGAATGTCCCTAAAAGGTCTACTCCCTAGTGTCCTGGGGACTCCCTCACCCCTCAGCCCCTCCAGTTTCCTTTCCAAAGCTCCCTGGTCAAGCGTGGTCAGGTAGAGCCTTCATTGAAGTGGGCCCCACAGAGCAGCTGTTTCCAGATGTCCCAGGAAGTACCTGGTCTTTACCCACTCCTGGTGACGATATCAAACCTGAAAGTTCTGATTTTAGTTTCTTGCTAGAGGTTCTTCCTTAGAGGCACAGACACAGCCCATCCCAGAGGCATCATGCCTTGAATCACTGGTTCTCAGGGCTGGTTCTGGTCAGGTGACTGCCTGCCACATGCGGCTTCCCCTGAGGCTTCTGGGCCCGTGGCCTCTAGGGCAGAAGGTGGAGCCCTGCCCTCAGCCTCTCAGGCTTCCTGCTGTGAGTTACTGGGCTCCTGGATTCTGTGTCAGCTAACAGCACTCATCCAAGTTTACCCAACCAGTCCCAAAGAAAGGCGGCAACAGGAAATGGCCATTTAAGCCCCAAAGTTCTCAAAAAGCCCAAAGGGGAGAACGTTCAGGGCCTAACTCCTCCTCCAAAGAAGCTTGAGGAGGGGCTCTGGGAAAGGGCATCCTCCGGCCAGGCTGTAGCTGCTGCTTTCTGGCTCCCTCTTATCCCTGGCCTGGTTCCACAGGGAGGAAGGTTCCAGGATCTGGGAGCCAGGGTGGTGTTCTCCTTCACCATACTGGGAGACCCCAAATTGCCACTTCTTAGGGCCAACTCCAGTTGAAAAATAACTATCAACAATTAAACTGCCCAGTGTTTACCATTTGATGGTTGAATGCCACCAATTTGTGGGGTGCTATTTGAGTTTCAAGGCCTGACTTCCTTCCTCTACCACCTGCTCTATGGAGGCTTCTCCCTGGGATTCCCTCTGAGAGCACAGAGAATTTGTTTTGAGAAAAAGAGATGCTGGGATAAAGGAGGGTGGTAAAGAATGGCTCAAATGAAAAGAGTGAGGTTTGTATGTGTGTGTGTGTCACTGGCATCTGCAGTCAAAAGTATCTGATGCCTTGATTATCCCCAGTAAATTTATACTCTGCTGCAAGTCTCCCAATAATACAGCTTTGTCTGCCTCACAGTCTCCTGGTAAGTGTCTCTGGGGTTGATTCTGAGAAGAGGTGCTCAGCCTGACCCTGAACGGGGAAGACTCTGGGTGCCCGGGGTGCCCAGGGTGCCCAGACTGGAGGGGCCATTCAGGGCTGCAGTATGGGCTTCTCCTGTGGCCGTCCTAGCCCAGCCACTGAAGGAAGGTGACATGTCTGCTTATGGCTTTGTTCTTTGGGCCCCGCTTTTGTCCAACTTGGAAATAAGATGAGGCTGCCTCTCTCTCTCTTGGGTTTTTCAGGATGGGCCATGAAACCAACCTGGGTGGGTGTAACTTTACAATAGCAAGATCTGTGCTGCTGAGGAAGTGAGAGAAGGATGCCTGGCCCTTCCCACAGAGGGCTTCCTGAGGCAGAAGCCAAAAGTGGTTGCTGTGCCACCCGGCTCTGAGCGGGAATCTGTCTCCTCTCTTCTAACTACCAGCCATCTCCTAAAACAGCGGTTCTCAACCTGTGGGTCATGACCCACAGGAACTGTATTAAAGAGTTGTGGCATTAGGAAGGTTGAGAACCACTGTCCTAAAACATTCCCTTAGAGGCGCCCCATTCCAGGTATAGTGATACAGAGAGGTGTCATGTAAACAGGAAAAGGGACAGTTTTTTTCAGGGTTTGCTTTTCACTGAGAATCTGTGGCATGGCAAGGACTGATCCACCCTCCCACTTTTGGTTTTTGGAAATTCCCTCTCCATTTTAGCTTCTACAAGTGGTGCTTTGTTATTCAGGGTGGTTCTCGGGACAGTGATGCAAGTTCTGCATTGACCTGATAACACTGTGTTCAAAGGGAGGCCTGGGCATTTGGGAGAGATTCACTAAACCCATTACATACCCTGTTTCACTTCACCCAGACACCTCTTATTTTCAGAGAATATTAATTTAAGAGGGCTTTTGCTTAGAGTGAGTGTCAGAATTTTTATTAATTTTATAAATTATTGCTACTGTGTTCATAACCAGATTTATGTGGTCTGGGTGTGTTGAATATATTACTTTAATAGTGAATTTATATGCTATAAGTGACCATAAATGTCCTTTGGAGGAAGGAAGAAAATATTGATTATTTAAAATCAAATATATGCTGTGTCCTGAGATGGAAGCTGTGTGCTCTGTGTGCCTTTTAGTACAATGCTTTGAATATGGTGGACACTGTTTACTGTGTGAGGGTGAAAAGACAACTTCTTTTCAGTGGAATAGTGTTGACTTTGAAGGGTGTTACAGCCTGGAATATATAATATCTAAATCCTTTCAATAGCGTAAGTTTCAAGAACAATGCAAGAATAACCTCCAAGCCAGTTCTAATTCTGTCCACATTGAGAGCCTAATTCTGCAGCTCTTACTCAGCCAGTCTCTTCATTTAGCTCAAGTGCAAGTTCAGGGGAAGCCCCACAGTTACAGAGACTACAGAAACAGGGCTTTTCAAAGGCCCCGGATGGTAGGGCTTTGAGCAGATCTGAGTTTCTAACCACTTGGAGCAGGCTGTAGGCACTAAATCATTTTCTGGTGAAGTATGTTTGAGTCTTTGAATGAACTGTGAACGTGAGTAATTGCTTGTGCCTGGACCAGTAAGGTTTAGAGCTTCTGTGGTACAGTATTAATCTTTCCCTTTTGCCTGAGACAAGCTCTTTTTCTCTTTTTTTTTTTTTTTTTTTTTTTAGACAGAGCCTCAAGCTGTCCCCCTGGGCAGAGTGCCGTGGCATTACAGCTCACAGCAACCTCCAACTCCTGGGCTCAAGCGAGTCTCCTGCCTCCGCCTCCCAAGTAGCTGGGACCACAGGCTCCCGCCACAATGCCCGGCTATTTTTTGGTTGCAGCCGTCATTGTTGTTTGGCGGGTCCGGGCTGGGGATTTGAACCCGCCACCTTAGGTGTACGTGGCTGGCGCCTTAGCCGGTTGAGCTATAGGCGCCAAGCCGACAAGCTCTTTTTCTGTTGCATAGATTGTGTTGCTAGGATGAGTAGATAAGTGGTTCCAAGTCGTCTTTGGCTTCGAAGATCATCTTTTCTTAATGTGGTGTGGAGGAAAGAAAGCAGACCAGGCAAGGAGCTGCAGGCCTTGGTTCCGTGCCCGCTTGACCACCATCCAGCTGGGTGACCTAGGACAAGTCACTTAGCAGTCGTCTGTGAAACAGGGGGAGCAGCCCCACGGCCCCCGCTTGTTAAGAGAAGCAGATCAATGCATGTTTCTGAACAGGTTTTGGAAAAGCAAGTAAGCACTGCACAGATGCAGAGCGCCATTCATTACAGCCCTGCACTGGAGAGAATGCCCTGTTTCCAGGGATTAAATGTACAGTGAGCTTTCAGTTGTCTGTTTTAAATGACAAAATGGCTTTTATTGTAAATAGAGGCGTTGGTATTTCAAATTTAGTGCTGTCAAGATAAGACTGAGATATGGGAGTACTTAAGTGTCCCTGAAAGTCCCGGGAACTCCTAGTTACAAAGTGTGATGCTGTGAAAGTCTTTGGAGTCTTTGAATCATGTGGTTACAGCCTCTCATGGACCTGAGAAGCTTGGAAAGGTGTGTCACCCGGAGCATCTAAGACATATTAGAAAAGTCATTTACACAAATGGCCTGGGAAAGTTAAATATTTTGTCAACAATAGCCTAGAATGTTAATTGGTAGCTTAAGAAAGTCAGACACAGGAAATCATTGCCAGAGCTCTCTGGTTCCTTTAACTGATGACAATTAAGTTTTTAATTGACAATTCAGGTATTGACAGCTGTAACTGGGGGGCCAGAGCTGGGTTTCTGTGACTGTTCATGTGATAAATGTCCTCCCCAGGACAGTGACAGAAGTGTTTACATTATTTATATATGCAGCCGTCATTTCCTTAAGAACTGACCTATTTTTATTCTATTTTCCAGAACGGAGTAATAAAAGGAGCGTTCTTATCTAGCCAGGACCTTTCTACCACTTCTTTTCAATGTAATTCTAAGCTCTCACAAAGGCAAAAGGGTTCATACAGACGGAGAAGTTGGTACAATACTTTATCAGAAATTGACAGAGAGCTTGCTTCGATAGCAAGGTGGTGTTATGGTGGGAAACAAGATAAGATGTCTTGTTGTTTGGGTTAATGTTTGTTTATAGGAGGCATTTGCTTTCTTTGAAATAATGTCATTGCTACCTGATGTTCCTCAAAATGCTCTGAGTTTTAGAATTTAACACCATTATGGCTTCCCTATGTGTGAACATTTTTAAGTACCAAAATCTTTGAGCGGGACTTTCAAACGTCCTCAGACATAGCAATTAAATATGACTAGAAGAGTGGCCCCCATTAACTGTTTTTTGTTTTTATTGTTCATT